CTTGAAGAAGCTGCTGGTAGGTAATAAAACGAATTACCTTAAGCGACTGACATTCGGTTTTACCCTCCTTGGCTTCACTGGACAGCTTCTGCAGAAAGCCTGCTTTCATACAGACTCAGTGCATGGTGCACAAATTCATACTGTTCGCTGGTCTGAACCATTCCACCCCTGAAGAGGAAACAAATTGAAATGCAATGTTATTTCTTAAGAATGAAACAACCTCCAGCCCCTGCCAATCCCATGTCTACCAGATAATACAAGGCCTTTTCTCAATTTTTGACTTAGAATTTGCTTGAGTAAGTGGGAGATTTGCCTGAGCAGTACTTTCTGCATAACTTATGCCACCCAGCACATGCCCAGCATGAACCTCCATTCCTGATTCTGTCAGGGTAAGAACTAGAGAGGAAGACATCTGGCATCTACATTGTTAAAACCTACATTTCAAATTCAACACATTCATAGAGAATTTTGCTCAGTCACTTGGGCAAGGAGGGCCAGATACACGGACGCAGCGTTACTATTGATGGAGCAAGGGAATATTCAGAATCTGGCCTTTCATTTTTGTCCTTTACCAAAAATGTAACCTTTGGTGACCCTCAGATCGCCTGTGCAGTGAACAGCTCTTCCTGTCCTCTTTCTAACGCCTACAATGCATCCTGTCTGAACAGCAGCCACCTAAGAAATTTTACAGCAGTGACTCATTTCAGCACCAACAATACAAAAGAGTTCAACTTGACCATAAAAAGGACTAGTTACAGACAGCTTGGATTAGATCCCTACATTTAATATATTCACCTGATAACAACCCTTTTTCAGGTCTAAGTATGAGGATCAAGTCCCACATCTCCTGTGCCAATTGCAGTGTGGTAGGAAGGGGATAATGTCCTACAGGAGGCAGGTGTGATATTTAGTAAGAGTGGTACTGTTCAGCTCTGAAATTAAACTGAGCCTCGTTCTGACAATACTAAGGTCTTCTAGGTCTCACTTCTCATGGACTGAAGCCTCAACTTTACTTGATTCCACTTTTATTACCTCATCTGCCAGGGTATCAAAGCTACTTACTCTGCTTCTAGAAACAAGCCCCCCCTTTATCCTCAGCGTACCCTGGAGCAGTTAGTTACCGTCAGGGACATGACAGAGTAAATGGCCTTAGCGCGAAGGAAGACATTAAGATTAGTATTGTATTTGGTTTCAGCTAGATCTGCACTGAAACAATCAAATTCATGACGGATTTGGATCCAGAGCAATGTCGAAGCCAGGTATCTTACAGAAGAAGGTCTGACAAACCCCCATGTGATCCCTTCAGACACCCTAGCAACAAAAGGGTCTACTGATACACAAAGCTATATGAAAAATGGTAAAACTGCCTCAACAAGTATTATCCTTTAGTATTAGAGAACTTTATCCAAAATCATAAGGTCCTTTGATTTTCCTCAGTGCTACTGGATGGTTAAATGGCTGTGGCAGGAAAAACATAGTTAAAATAATACCTACTGCTTTAAGCAAGCGACCAGCTGTCAGTACACCTCCAGTGAGCTCAGGCAACTGTAGAACACCTTTTAGTGAGCTGCATGTCTATTACGATACACTATTCCCAGGAATTAAATCACAGCCCCTTAAATGGTCCCATCCGGTGCAAAATGCAGCAGCTTCTTGGCTTTGCCAGTAAAGACATCCACAAATTCATAACTCTTGGCTGCCTGCTGCCTTCAGCTGCTCGCCTCTGTGCCTGTCCCCTGCTTGTAGATCCAGCGAGAATCAAAAGGTGACAGGAGGGCTTTGCTCTGGTCCTCTGTGCTGCTTAGCCTCCTTCCTTCCTCCTCCTTGCTGCGTCCTGCTCTGCCCACGCAACCCCTTCCCAGCCAGCTTCCCTCCCTGTCTCCCCCATCAATGTTCCCCCAAGATGTGCTCTAAGGGAGTGCGTTTCCCAGGTTAGATCTGCTGTGTGGCAGGGGGGGCGGAAGGGAACATATCCAGGGAGAAGGACTTGTCAGGAAGGGCAGGTTAAAACGAGTTTGGCTGCACTAGGCTGTTTGTGGGGGTGATCCTTGCTCCTTCCTCTTCAGTGCTGAAGCTACATACAAAATCCCTGAGAAGGGATGTATAAGCCTGGCTGGGGCTGAGCCCAGCACTACTGCATTTGCCCTGTGCTAGCAAGCGTAACCATGATGCTATGGTGCTTCTGAACCCTGTAAGGGCAAAAGAGTGCTCGTCCCTGTCAGCTTAGGGGCACCTGAGTCTTACACAGAGGTTCAGACAACTTGGTCTTGTCAGTGCTGTTATACAAGGGATTCATAGAACCATAGCATCATAGAATGGTTTGGGGTGGAAGGGACTTTTAGAGATCATCTAATCCAAACCCTCTGCCATGGGAAGGGACATCTTTCACTAGATCAGGTTGCTCAAAGCCCCATCCAACCTGGCCTTGAACACTTCCAGGGATGGGGCATCCACAACTTCTGTGGGAAACCTGTTCCAGTGTCTCACCAAAGATTTTCTTCCTAATATCTAATATAAATCTACCTTCTTTCAGTTTAAAAGCATTACCCCTTGTCCTATCACTACACTCCCTGATAAAGAGTCCCTCCCCATCTTTCCTGTAGGCCCCCTTTAGGTACTGGAAGACTGCTATAAGGTCTGTCCGGGAGCCTTTTCTTCCCCAGGCTGAACAACTCCAACTCTCTCAGCCTGTCCTCATCGGGGAGGTGCTCCAGCCCTCTGATCATCTTTGTGGCCCTCCTCTGGACCACTCTAGTAGGTCCATGTCCTTCATATGTTGGGGGCCCCAGAGCTGGATGCAGTACTCCAGGTGGGGTCTCACGAGAGTAGAGTAGAAGGGCAGAATCACCTCCCTCGACCTGCTGGCCACGCTTCTTTGGATGCAGCCCAGGACACGATTGGCTTTCTGGGCTGCGAGTGCACATTGCTGGATCACGTCCAATTTTTCATCTACTGATAATCCCCAAGTCCTTCTCCCCTTTGTTCTTGTGCAAGGCTCACGTTGAATATCAAGGAATCATCTGTGACCCTAAGACATCAGTTGGTGCAAAAGGCTGTGTGGAAGAGCATTTCAGGAGGAAATCTGCTCAAGGAGGGAGGTTTCCTCTTCCACATCCCTAGTGCCCAAAAGGGATGTACCCACAGCTACCACACCTCCGGGTGTGCAGCCTTCATCATCTGCCAGCCCACACTGCCAGCTCCTCTGCGAGCTGCTGGGCTCTCTGCTTCTTTGGGAGTCTCTGGGATGGTGCTTGGAAAAAACAGCCCCTGGTATCCTGAGGACTCTGGGACTATGACCAGCTCCCCCTGGGCAGCCACAAGGGAGGGAAGGTCCTTTACCCTGCCCTCTGGCTTGCTGCTAGTGCAGCTGGATGCAGTCTGCTCCAGCATGAATGCGATGTAGGGCTTGAGATTTTTTTTTTTAACCTGAAGTGATTAGTCAAAACACTTAAACAATGAATTGACGCACACTGGAAACTCTTTTCATCCTGTCTGAGGAGCCAAGAGCAAAGTTATCGGACGTCATTCCAAGAATGTGCCTTTAAGGTTAAGAATGTGCAAAGTTTCTTGATATCACAGTAAGTCTTGAAGATGCCTCACATCAAACATTTCCTGTTTCTGTTGCAAGACATAAAAAATGAACTGGGAAAAAAAGTAAGCCGAGCAGACCTGTGGGCCTATCTTTCTATGAATCCACACCGAGCATAGCTGCATATCCATCCTGGGTCAAGATTTTGAGTGGATGGTCATTTCCTCATGTTAGCTCAGCCCAGACAATTAGTGCCAGATCTGTTCACCCCTTAACTTACACTGAACAGCTAAGAAGAAAGTGGCATATGGACATACCTTACCTGGAAACAGCTCTTTCCTGTCTTATTCCCTGTTTGCAGAGGGGTTACATAGGCAGTTAATTGAACTATTTTTCAGCATAGCTTTTTGCCACCATCTGCAATTTGTCTGAATGCTCGTTTGGTTCTCACTGAGTGTGCTGGGCAATGGGAATGTTTTGGTAAATCACTACAGCATCACTGTGAGCTCCTCAAGTGCAGCTCTTTTCTTTTCTCCCATTTCTTGGTTCACTTTGGTAGAAATGTAGCCATGGACCCATCTGACAAAAAGTTCACACACAAGTGGATCCCACTGAGTGTGTTTGTTCCATCAGTAGGTCTGTGTTTGGATGGTGCAGCTCTGAGCATGACCAAGCCTGCCTGGAATTCTAGTGGAGATGAGGTATCAGAGATTAAACGATTTAGTGTACCTCATGGGCAGGTTTCTGGCTCTTAGGTGGTCAGACAAAACCATCCTTTTCTGATGAACTCTCTTTTTTCTGTTCTGTAAGGGCAATCTGATGTACAAAGAATGAGTTGGAGCCCAGCTGCTGGCCAGCATCGTGAGGAAGCCAGCCTCATCTCTGTTCCTGTTCTGCCCCTGGTTGTACTCCATTCCTAATGTTGGCCACACTGGTAACTGAAGTGCAACACAGCTGTGTCTAGAGCCAGCTCTTGCAGCTATGTCTAGTGGGACATTAAGTTCATTTTGCTAGGTTCATGCCACATGTAATGACCCCATCTCACATGCCACCTGCCAATAAGCACCATGTCAGGACGGGGTCATCAGGGGAAGCTGGCGTCATGGAGCTTTGTCCATGTAACACTGATACTTGTCCACTTTATGAATGTTGACTCTGGCTGGTCTGCCAGTGGCTACTGTAGTCTTAGAGGTTGCTCAGCTTTGCCTTAGCAATCCTTGCTGTAAACTGACTGCCGGGTGAGTGAGATCCATTCTGCAATATGGCCAATTGGAAAAAGGAAAGAAAAAAAGTTTTTGGTTACTGAGTTTTGCCCCCAAAAGGTCTTTAAAAATTAAAACACAGATATAAATACTTAAAGGGAGGGTGCCAGGGGGATGGGAACAGTCTTTTTTTCAGTTGGGCCCAGCAATAGGACAAGAGGTAATGGGCACAAACTTGAACACAGGAAGTTCCATCTAAACATGAGGAGGAATTTCTTTACTTTGAGGGTGGCAGAGCACTGGAACAGGCTACCCAAGGAGAATGTGGGGTCTCCCACTCTGGAGACATTCAAAACCCACCTGGATGCCGTCCTGTGCAACCTGCTATAGGGGAACTTGCTCTGGCAGGGGGTTGGACTAGATGATCTCCAGAGGCCCCTTCCAACCCCTACCATTCTGTAAGTCTGAGATATACTTTTTGTCTCAGGCAATGCCTGAGAATATGAAGAGCTGAGGCACATTAAGCAAGATCTCTGGAGTCTATTTATATAACCCAAAACTCAAAAAATACAGAAATGTGCAAATCACAAGACAACAATTTTTTTAACAAGCTTTGTGTCACTGAGATTGCTGTTATGAATGTTTATATTTGGGTCAGATTTTAATTCTCTTTCCAAGTTTATCTAGGATACTAATACATATAGAAAACTCATTAGTGAGATACACATGACAAAATTGTGTTGTCAGTTATAATGCTGAAAATTTGGATTATTTTTTCTACAGCTGAAATAATGACAGAAAAAAACTATGTAGCTGAGAGCAGAGTTTGCTTCCACTTCTCTACAGTGGAGTGTAAAACCAATAAGAAAAAGGTTATCTTACAACAGAAATACTAAAATGGGGGAGAGCACTACAAACCTTTTTCAATAAAATGAACAGATAATCAGAACAGAGTGTTGGAAATTTGGAGCTGATAATTTAAAACAGAGTAAGCATTTTTCCCTCAGCTCTTCTATCTTTTTTGTTGCTGAGATTTTTAGGTCAGGAACTCCCCTTGGAGAATTTTACACTCCAAGTGGCTCATGTTGCCCTGTAAGGATCACATTACTGTCTCTGTATGATGAAGGCATGGGGAGCGGAAGGCCGAGGAGGTGATCCATAAACATGGTCAACTCTATGGATTCTAGTCTTTCTGCAATTTGTGGTTCCAGTACCTTTCGGAGCTCTTCAAAACACAAAAACCCTGTGTTGTCCCTTTGACCTGAGCTCTTTTTCAGCATTTGCACCCTTAATGGGTTTTTTCCATTGAAAGAAGAAATGTATGCCAGAAGCAGTTAATATACTTGCAAGAAGATTATATGCATCTGGTACCTACAGCAGGAGAGGAATGAGACTTCTCTATTCTTGGTGCGACCCCGTTTATTTACTTTACACAAAATCCTGTTTCCCCAAGCAGAATAAGAAAGAAAAGTACAACCAAACCAGCAGCTTCCATTGTGCACAATACCCACATCCTCCTTTCCAACACAAATCTCTCTTCAGCCATGGTTTCACAAAACAAAGCACTCTGCAACAATGCTGGCTTACAGTGTTCCTGCTCCCAAGCTGTGAATTCAATTGGGGAATTGATCTGACTTAAGAAAATTCTGCAACAAATGCCTTGCTATTTTCTTAAGCTGGGTAAGTTTGCCAACCCAATTCAAAAGGACCCCCAACACAGCTGAGGAAATAGCAACAGCACCAGATTTGGCTGTCCCCGCTGCATAAAGAAACTGCACACTGAGTGAGCCTGGATGTCCCTGTCAATCCAGGCTCAAAGACAATCCCTTGCCTCCAGATTGCCCAGTGTCTCTTGTGTCCTAGTGGGATGCCGAAGACAGCAGAAAGCTCCAGGGGGGAAAAAGAGGAATGCCAAGTGCCCAGCAACCGCAGGGTTGCCATCTCAGGAGAATTTCATTCAGTGGAGTCTCACCCAGTTTCATCCAGAAAACAATATTCCTTACTCAGGATCTAAATACAAATGTTACTTTGAATATTCAGCTAATGCTGTCATAAGAGTCAGCAAAAGTGATGGCAACCACTTCATGTAAAGCAACATTCAACTGTGAAAAGGTTTTCAGAATCATTACTGATCATTACTGAATCATTTCAGTAATGAATTCAGAGTCATTTCAGAATCATTAACTGATTTATGGTTCTGCAACTCACCGATCCACTCGTAGCTGGCAGACAATGCTCAATGCATCTACAACTCCCTCTTCCTTCAACTGCTGACAACCAATGGCCGTGGCAATAAAACATCCAGTTCTTCCTATACCAGCACTGAAAAGAAGGCAAAATTTAATAGGGGAATGGAGTTCATAGAGCAAAGGAGTTAAGCAGAAAACACTAAATAGATATGAAAACACTAAAAATATAAAATATGGAATTGCTAGAACCCACAGTTCCTGGGTGCATGACTAGCAAGGGTAACTTCTCAGCTCGTTTTCTTAGAGAGAAATGAAAGGGTGCACTGCTCCAGCAGTCCAGTTGTTGTGGGTAATTTGTGAAGCTTACACCTTTCCAGTTTGTACAAAAGTGTATGGTAAGAAAAACAATCTCCATTAGAACCACAATGTCTAAATATTCTCTGGCACAGTCCAAGCAAAAGATGGAGATATGCACTGAGCTGGGGGAAAAGCCCACCTAAAGGCAAAAGTCAGTGGGGCTTTAAGTCTGAAGCCCTCAAAGTATACAGGGGTTTTGCTAACCACGTCTCTAACCATGAAGGTAAAAAGGACACAGAACCAGGATGATAAAGTTAACCCCTTCTCCTGTGATTCTGCAGGAGGGAGAAGGATTTGATGCTGTAACTCTCCAGGTTTTCTTGATGCCTGCTTGGAAACAGCCATTTTGGCATTATTTTTACTCCCTGGGCCTCCAGCACTTTTGAGAATCTCTGCCCCACTCTGTTCCTTGCTTAAGTAATGTGGAATTCAGTGCAGCTCGTCCCTGTCATGCTGCATGGCAGGAAAATGTGAGGAAAACAGTTAAAACATGGAGTCAGGTGTTCAGATCTCCATACCTGGCTTTATAGTAAATAGGTAACCATTTGGTACCTTGCTTTCTTCATGTCTGCAATGGGTTTGAATGCTACCTGCCTCATAAGAGCACTGCAAAAGGTATTTAAATTAATGCCAGGAAGAATCTGTTGAGTCTCTCAGATGGAAGCTTGATATATCTGAGTGCAAAGTGTTACCAGGAGTATGTCCAGTTGCTACAGCTGAAACAAATCACAATCTACTCACCACAGAATGAAAGATTGGAGTGGTTTAGAGACTCAAGAGCCCTTCCATCTGGAAGTGAAAATTTCCAAGAGGACTCAGCAAAATTAAATATATGAGGATGTCTAAGCCAACCATGAGGAGATAATGAGATGTAAAACTGGCAGCGTAAGAAAGGATCGAGTGAGATGAAGATCCTGCGTTGATAGCCTGTCTCCTTGGACATCAATAACCGTGGAATAAATGTATCCAAAAGGAGAAGGACACAGTTTATAAAGACAGATTTGGAGAAAACAACCTAATGCATACCCTTATTCCCTTCCTCAAATATTTTGAAACCCTTGAAAGCGAGGCTAACGAGTTTAAACAATTCAGATGTAAGTGAAGTTGGCTATAACGAAGGGTTCTTTTTTTTCCCCCTTTTTTTGGGGTGGATTAAGTGTTCTTGGACAAGTTCTTAATATGTGTTAAACAAAGACCAGGGTTTTCTAATGTATTTTCTTCCTTAGTTCAGGCCTGCCAGTCTTATCCAATTACAGAGCTTTATTTCAGATAGTGCAAGATAAAAATTACATTGTTCTTTACTTGCCTGACATTTCTTTCCTGGTATATCTGGAAAATATGGAGAGCTACTTACTTTGAAGTATTTTCAGGCACCCAAACATGTTTTTTATATATATACATATATTTTTTTTTTCCGTTATATATATATTTATTTTGCCCCTCTTTTTTAGGAGTTTAAGGTGTAGAAGCTCATTTGTGATGACTGTGGTCTGTTAATTGGGAGTATAGAATATTGGACTGTTATGATTTCGGGATTAAGAGATGCAGGCAGTATGCTTTTTATAGAACATGTTCACGCACTAGCTGATGAGGAAAGAAAAGCAAAAATTTCCAGCAATAACTATAACAGTGTCAAGTTTCTGAGCATAAAAATTTTATCCCTTATTCTCATTTAAGAAACTCTTAAAAGTCCTCCAATATGACAAATTGCTGGTTCTTCTGGGAAGTAGAAAATGGCATTGCAGTCCAGATTCTCAGGCAACTTGGTTTCACTGACTAAAGGGGGCTAAATTAGTGTCACATTTGCAGAATATAATTCTGTGTTCTAATTCTTCCTTATTGATTCAATTTAAATAAAAAGCCCTTTTCCCTCTATATTTGAAATCCCTCAATTAAAATTTGTATTTGATCCCAAACCACCTAGTTGCCATTAAACCCAAACTTATTTTGATGTACTAACTACACATCCAAAGGCCAGATTAAGGAGATATTTTCCATATTTACCCACGCTTTCAGTGAGTGACATGAGAGAGGAAACGTATACCTTTCCAGTGAATGCTACTATAAAGGTTGCTAAGAATTTCAAACTCTTCTTCTTTTGGAAATCTGTGCCCTTGGTGTGTGTGTGTGTATTCACATCTGCTGATTTCAAATGTTTACTCTTTTTACTGTTCTTTTGCAGAATAGGAACTACTTTGCTAAAATCAGTCAAGTCTTTCTTATATCCTGAATCGTGAATGGGCTCATCACTGAAGTGTGTAAGACCGCACCTTATGCTAATAGGCTACAAGAAGACACAAACAATAAACTGAACTACTTTTTTTCCACTTGTATCGTATTAAAAATTAAAGTACTTCTGCTTCAGATTAAGGACCGTTGTTTGAGTGTCCACTGTAACGCTCCTCTGGAAATAACTGAGAATTGTGCATTTATATCTGATGCCCAAATTTAAAAGTGTGTACAGGTTAAGACCCAGATGACCTGAACTGCAACTCAGATTAAAAGGGAAGAAACTATCTGACTAGGAAATGGAGTGGGAGTTTACCCATTTTGTAGACCATAGTGGAGTGAGCACATGGCTAGCTGAGTTATCACCGAAGAACTATTAATTTTAATCACAACTGAGATGATATCTAGGTCTCTAATCATGAACAAATTCCAGTTCATGGTTATAAACTTTACTGTCATATCACTCACCCCAGAAAGACACCCAGTTCTTCTGAAGGCCTTGATAACTGAAGATCTTTACTGGAAAAATGGGACTCTCAATAGCCATCCACGGATTTGTGGATTATTTAGGGAAACTAACATTTCTGCTAAAAACAGCTGCATAAAATTTGGGAAGTTCCTTATTCATCACATTCTGGTTTTGCAAAATGATGGGTGGCTCAAATCTGGCTTCCATTTCTCTAAATTTTCTAAATATGGAGTTGAAAAGAAGTGGTTCAAGATGAAAAGTTCTGGTTTTGAAGTACTTCTAGGAAAAAAAAAAAAAGTACTCTCCCAACTGTAAGAGATGTATCATCACAGTTATGAGACGAAGCAAATAAGACTTGATTTTAATTTTTTTTGTTGTTTTGCTTCACGTACTTCTTTCCACCAATATAATGAACCCGGTACTACTTCCTACTACTTAAATTGCACCATGTGGCAATGAATCAGTGTAAAGCAATAAAATGGAATTTAATTAGAATGATTAGAAGGGCATTCTTTGGTTCATTATAATTTCTCTGAATAACACCCTGCTCTTAAGTACTGAATAACACTTTGCTTTTGAGTATCAAACCAACTGCCTTTGTGAACATGTTCACAAATTTTAGTACTGATGTGTTTTGCTCTCCAAATTTGTACCTGATGCCTGCTGTTCAAAATCGACTTTCTTTAAAACATTTTAGCCAACCAATCATAGGGCATTGCATCTGACTTAGGTATGTAATTATGCAACAAGACTAAAAAGAAAGCAAATCATGAATGAGAATAGGAAAATAAATAATTTTTCCAGCCAGTCTTTCAAAGACAGAGTTCATTTGCAGAAATGGAGAACGGTTCAGAAACAATTTGCTAGCGACAAGGGAATTCTCTCCAATTCTCAAATATGAAATGAAAAAGCCAATTAGCATGAAGAAGATCTGGGTAATTTCTTCCCAAAATACGTTCCCTGTTTAGTAGGAGGACTGTTTGATGTGATTCGCTGTGTCCTTGCTCTGGGCGGTCATTTAAGACAAGGATTGCAAATTACCTGCAGTGCACAATGACAGGCCCTCTGCCAGGTGATTCCACCCTGTCCTCTTCTACATCCAGCATGAGCTGCAGCAGAGGCTGAGCGCTGTCGGGGGTTTTGTGGTCCGGCCAAGATGTGTACCAGTAGTGTTTCACACTCTGGGACTGACTCCCTTGCTGAAAATAACATGAAGATTTTATGTGCACACTTGTGGTAAACAATTCTTTTTATTTCTCTGAATATTATGATAAAAAGACAGTAAAAACGTTAAGAGAGACTTAACTTGTTTTGTTCATTAGTCTCAGAGGATGCAATTGCAGGGGAACAGGCGTGCTTCCAGGGACACAGTTGTAAGAAGGGTTTGTGCACCTGAAAACTCAGCTGTTTTTCCTACTATGCAAGTTCGGCTCTGTCCATCTGACTACTGACCTGCCAACTCTCTTGTCGACTGGGACTTGTCAGAGATCTGTGTTAGATCAGCAATAAGATCTAGAGAGATTATTTTGATCTGGGCTTCTGAATCTCAAAATTATTATATATTTCTGCTACCTTTTAAGGACATTATTATAAGGGTCTGATACTAAAATTAGAAGAGTACTTAAGTTAAAGGTGCAGAGGAACTGCTCTTCTGGATTAATCAAACCTCCCAGTTTGTCCAGTTATTCTCTCCAACAGAGAATGCTACCACTTACTTCAACAAGCAAAGGGGCTAAAGATGGACTAAAGCAATTTGGGTTGGACGATATGACTTCTGTCTACTTCTCACTGCCTGAGCTGAAACACCAAATAAATTTTCCCAATTCAATATTTATTGCAATGCTCTGTCAGGGGCAGTGGATGATGCAATCCAATAGCACGTAAGTGTAATATAGGGAATAACTTAGAGGAGGAGCATCTGCCTTATTTTGCAGTTAATGTTTAGTCAGAACCATGAAAGAATGAAGCTTTCCTTATATACTCCTTATATTTTTAGCTTCTCAAATGGGCTATAGATGCACTCAGCTCACACATAAGCAGGGTATCTTTTTCAGAATGATGCTATGCTAGTTCTTTCATTAACTAAAATCCCTTTACATCACCTTGGCAATGCTAAAAAGGCCTCAAAGCAAATGTAAGTCAAGGGAGTGAAACCTGCACTCTTTTTGAAGCCTTTTTTTTATTGCCACCATGATACGAAACAGCAATACGATAACTGTTCCAGCTCCTTGGTCTCAATCATACCTTGCAGCTGTGAGCTTCATAGCTCATTTACTCCTCCTGTAAAAATGTATGCCCTTTAAAATAACACTTTAACTTCATTTAACATTAAAAAAATAAAGCATTTGGAACAATACTTTTCAGATGCAGATTGTTACCTTTATTGTAAGCTGACGGACAGTATAATTTTCGCATTCTTCCACACTGTTAACAAGGACTTCAACCTTTCCATAGATTCCTCTTTTTTCTGGCCAATAGAGCACGCATTTCTGGAAAGCAAACATCAGCGGTCATCAATAAACTGGATCCTGGAGCCATATTCACATACAAGTTTTACACAAAATGCATTTGTCTGGAAAGTTCAGATGAATTCAACCGAGGTGTTACTCTGTCAGAAACATTCCTAAATAAGGTATTGTAGGCCTCCTAAGGAATGACTTAGGCCTGATTTTCAGGATCTGAGTTTTTCAAATATGGATCTCTATCACTGAACACTTTGAACAGCTGTTTTTATTCATAAAAGTTCAATGAAGTTCAGTTAAAGGAATTATTTTACACATTCAAAATCGAAGATTTTATTCCAGAACATTCTTTAATTCATAGAATTAAAATTATAAAGTTTACTCATTCCAAATGGGATTTTCTCCTGAGCAAGTTGTTCAGAATTTGTCCTCTCCTCACAAGACTTTTTATCCTCTTTACTCTCCTGAGCCCTGATACTACAAAGCATGTAAATGTGCCTTTAGATCTTACTGAATTCAGTGGGACTTAATGTGCTTGTTAAAGTATTTTGCAGAACCTGAGTTGTCTACTATATAGCTTACTGGAAATGAATGTTAAAAAAATCCATCAGTCTTGCTACAGCTACACAAAATTATATACAGAATTCTTAATCAATCAGTAGTGTTATACTATTTCAGCAATATATTTGACAAGCACCTACTAAAAAGGAGATGAAGAAGTAGTATTTATAATATGAACCATTTCAGTTTTCCCCTGCAATAGTTTGCTTATCTTTAAGTCAACTGCCACTTCATATTAATTTCTACTGAAGTATCTCTGTAGTCTACCTGAAAGCAAACATCCCTGTTGTATAAATACTTCTCTAAAAATAGATGCATATTACTTAAGAGTCTAAGGTGTTTGAAAGCCACATTTTCTGAAATAATGCCGGCCAATCTGACTTGCTCATTAAATAAAAAAAAAGCCTAACAATTAAAGAAAACCTCATTTTTAATATCCAATACACAGGTTAAAAAAAAACCAAACAAAACACCAAGAGAACAGACAGTTCTACAATAATAGGAATCACAGACAGAACTTGTTTGTAGTTGCTGACAAACTCTTGCTTAAGAAACTGGTATATATTTAGACAGTAGCCTACATTACACAGCAAAATGAAACAATCACTTTAATATAATTAATTGCCATAAAGCATAACTCCCAGTAAAAACTGCTAAAAATGATCAAGAAAAAAATACCAGTGAAATACAAGGCTTTACCACCAGGTGTGATCTTTAAGCTGCTACTCTATTTGATAACCCAATAGCTGATTCAACCGAATCATCTCTGTTGTATAAATACTTTTCTAAAAATAGATGCTCATTACCTTAATAGTGTAAGGTGTGTGAAAGCCACATTTTCTGAAATAATGCTGGCCAATCTGATTGGTTTCGTTCAAATCCTGTCTTTTCCAGAATTACTCGAACATCCTAAATTTGCTGTCTCCCCGAAGACATCAAGAATGGCAATAAAATACTCAGAAATTTGTATGAAAAAAAGTGTTCACAAGTTCCACAGTCCCCCCATGTGACACATATAGCTACTATCATCTGCCAGATCTGCAATTCATGCCCCTCCCTGGGAGTGTAGTTTTCAGTGCTAATATGGGAAATAGAAAAGTCTAAATACACAATTGTACCCTGACAATCAACAATAGTTGAGTCAACCCCTGAGACTTCTTGATAAATGCGAGCATGCGACACTCACTACAAAGCCTTCAGGCACTCCAGAAGAGTGTTTTTCTTGACTCTTTCCCAGAACTGGAATTGGCAGCCTGCTCTGGGTGGACAATGAAATGGGGCTGTTCATTAAAATAACTTTCATTTAACAGTCTGTCTACATTTAGTGAGATACAATGGATTATTTTTAACACAGTCTCCGTGCATCTTTTTAAAATACCATTTGTTACTGCTTTAAAAAATGGCCTTGAAAATAGAGCTGGGATCAGCTGGTTCAGGCACTTCTAAGAAGACAGATGTTTGGGGAAATTAGCATGTTTTTGGAAGTTAATTGTAAAAAAGGTATAGAGATGAAGATGGGAGGGGCAAACATATCAGACACGCAAAAAATAATATAGAAAATCCCAGGACTATCAGCAAGAAAGGGTAAATTGCCTCAAGATATTGCTTGAACCTGAGAGAAAATTCCACTGGTCAGGTAGGTATGTTTTAAACCTGTTCAAAAGGCAAACACAATGCTTAAGACAGGTGCTCTCTAGCCTCATTTCTGTAATCAGTAAAAGCTTACCGCCTGCAGTATATATCAGGAAAAAAGGAAGAATTCACTTGTTCTTATCATCATGTAGTCCTCCACCTCCACTCTTTGTGCTGGTCCTAATTCTTGTTCCTTGTTGTTCTTTCAGGCCACATAGTTTCCCTTTCAGCATATTCATATATTACAGCATTTGCTAAATAGGTCACATATTTTGTCAGCTTGAGATTGAATGTACAATCCTTTATGTAGTCAGGAAACATATAAAAGCTATAAGTAGGATTTTTTAAAAGATGCTTAAGCTCAGAAAAAAAAAAATAAATAGAAATCCTAACCAACTTGCATGGCAGCCAAAAGCCTGGGAACCTTCTTACTTTCACTTGGAAAATCTCATCTTCCTGCCATCTTTCAAATTCCCCCCTTGGATTCATTTCCATTGGTTAGCTTTTTGCTAAAAATGATTATTTATTTTTGATCTAGTGCCTGACCTTTTTTTTTTTTTTAAAAAAACCCACCAACATTCCCTGACCCGAACAGGAAGTTTATACAAGAAACAGTATCTCGCATAACCTTTAATTGATTTTAGCCTGTGTCCTTCCCCCCCGTGACAGGGCTGCAGGCTCAGGCTCCCTCCGTTCCCTGTCCTGTCTCCTTGCATGCCCCATCCCACGCCTCATGTGACCGCTCCTGAGGTGGGTCTCCATAGCTGAGTAGGGTCTGGCCCTGCCTCGGACTGGGGCTGGCACCTGCTATTTGCGGTGGTGGGTCTGTGCGCAGGAGCACAGGCTTTTTTAACCTGCCGTAAGTGCTCCTGTTGCAGCCGGGTCCCACAGTTCTGCTGAATGGAGGAAGGCTCTCTCAGCTGACGGCTCATTTATCTGCTTTACCTTTCCTGGATTTGGACCCTGAACAAAATCAGTTTAACAATTCTCAAATATTTGTGAAGTTGCTTTACTTCAGCTCCTCTTCTTGTTTATTTTTCTATATAGCCACGCTAACAAATGTATATGTTGAAAGTCCCAATAACCAGGCCAACACACAAGAGTAATGAATAACTACAACAAAGTTTCAATTCCAGAAATCCTTTTAACTCCTGCCCTCTATTTACTGTCACTAGGAACTCAAGCATGAGAGGTCTTGCACGATTTGCCTTCATATACTAAAATTCTCAAAGTTAGGACAAAATCTTCTTAAGTTTCTCCAAAACCTAAGACATATGTATGGTGCCAATACTCCAATTAACTAATAAGTAATCTTCAAAGAGGCTTATGTGAATTCTGTAAAAGGCAGGATTTTCAAATTCCAAAATCTACTTTGCTATGTGTAGATAAGGGTGCCTATAGACCACGGGGAAAAAAAGTTACATGAAAAATAATATGAGCTTTAAACAGTGAGTTAGCAAGATCATCCTAGATAATTACTGACAAAAAGATTTACATTATCTGAGTTGAATAAACACACATTGTTTAATCCATCTGTCAGTACTAGTCCTTTCTTCTTGCAGAATGCTGCACAATATTCTTTATTTATGCTTTCCAAAATATGCTTCCTGGTTAACAAGTAATGTTGCTAGTAAAGTTTGAAGGCAAACTAAATGTGTATTATCTATGGAGTACATAGCATAACTACGGAAATCAGCTGATACAAGTGAATTCTATAAACTTTTGGACCTGGGAGTCCTGGTGGACAACAGGATGACCATGAGCCGGCAATGTGCCCTGGCGGCCAAGAAGGCGAATGGCATCCTGGGGTGCATCAAGAAGAGTGTGGCCAGCAGGTCGAGGGAGGTCATCCTCCCCCTCTACTCTGCCCTGGTGAGACCGCATCTGGAGTACTGTGTCCAGTTCTGGGCTCCCCAGTTCAAGAAAGACAGGGAACTGCTGGAGAGGGTCCAGCAAAGGGCAACAAAGATGATTAGGGGACTGGAGCACCTTTCTTATGAGGAAAGGCTGAGGGACTTGGGTCTCTTTAGTCTAGAGAAAAGAAGATCGAGGGGGGATCTTATTAATACTTACAAATACTTAATGGGAGGATGCCAGGGGGATGGGAGCAGTCTTTTTTCAGTGGTGCCCAGTGATAGGACGAGGGGTAATGGGCATAAACTTGAACATAGGAAGTTCCATCTTAACATGAGAAGGAACTTCTTTACTTTGAGGGTAGTGGAGCACTGGAACAGGCTGCCCAGAGAGGTGGTGGAGTCTCCCACTCTGGAGACATTCAAAACCCGCCTGGACGCTGTCCTGTGTAACGTGCTGTAGGTGACCCTGCTCTGGCAGGAGGGTTGGACTAGATGATCTCCAGAGGTCCCTTCCAACCCTAACAATTCTGTGAATTCTGTGAATTCTCTACAAAATTATATAGAAGTCTCTAAAATTCTTACACTCCACATATTCGTTTAATTTCCATTGCTCAGTTGCCTTGACTAAACTCAGTAATATACGAAGTTTATATGTGCCTCATGGATAAAGCTTTGTAAGATTGTATCCTAAAATATTACTACAGAATTAGAGATGGTTACCTTCAGTGGGTGATATATCTCATTCTCTTAGAGTGGGATGGATCACCCTCTGGAGGTGACTACTGTTCTTCAGTGAGGGCAGGGAGGGCATTTAGATCGCTAGATGAGATGTGTTTTTCCTCATATTATTCTTACTTACAAATCAATCTCCTTTTTTTTTTTTATCAAACTTCAAAATGAAAAAGAAAGAAAATCCAATAATGTAATGCTCCACTTTTTTTACATACAGCTGAAATTTGTATTTTGTTCAGCACTCTACTTTCATATTATATCTTCATCCATCTTACAAAAACTGTTACCACAGTGAGTCTTAACCATTTTTTCATCTGATGGAAGGAAGTAACTCCATAGAAACCTTTGTTTATCATCATTTCACACAACTCCCATTGTTATTGCAAATTCATCACATTGGTATATTGAACTAGGACACTAATGTCCCAAACAATTTTACTTATGCTAAATAAATGAATGAATTGTTGAGATTAAGGCTTTTCACGTGTGTCTTATTTGAGAACTCCCTCATTATACATTACTTTATACATTATAGTACATTATAGCTAAAATGGAATCTGACTGATGTTATACCAACTGGAATGTGGCCTATACCTGAGAGTCAGGAATGTTTATTTGTACAGGGTGGATGTGGATAAGTGGATGAATACCCTTTCAAATACAAAGGTATTTGTATGTGTGTAGGCTGCAGATGTACCTCCCTGAAAATTATGGAAAGAAAGCAGACCACAGAGAAGAAAAAATATCAAGTGCTATTATGCTAAATAACATCTGCTCTTGCCTTCTCTATAGAGAGCAAATACTTTAACAGTGAAGCTAATACGCTGAGCGCAGCCACTAGCTAAGCTGTTTTCTTTTCAATAGCAATCAAGGTTTCAGGAGGCACCGGCTAACGGTGGGAGAGTTCCTAAGGTTTCTAGACAGGGCAGGACAGCTTGCGCAAACACAGCCTCTCTATATAGCCTGGGAACGATTTGAGATTCCCCACCCTTTCTATTAGGAGGAAATTACCACTGCCAGGCCACAACAATGCGGATAAACACCAGTGCCTAGAGCCTGCGTAACTCAGGTAAACAGAGGGCTTCCTGACACAATGGAAACCACTGGGCCCTTCTTTCAAGTCATTCTTCTTACACAGTGTCAGATGTGAGTGTTTAAACAGTAAGCATTTCCTCAGCAAAATACTGATTCTTTTGGCCAATTAGGCTGGACTAAGTTTTCTACATTTTCAGGAGTAACCTTTTTAATGTGGGCTTCTGGACACTTGTTTGAACAGTCTAGTGCAAAATGGCACCTGGTTTGGAAATATGTCTTGGGACATTTTACAGGACAAACCTACTTTTTACATACAGCTTTCTCACAATCCACTGGATTTTAAGTTCATGTTAGAAGCCCAAACTCACAGTGACAAGCAGCCAAGCAGCGGTCAAGGGCAGAAGAAAGAAGAGCATGTCTACTGAGTCCACATTTAAATGGATCAGTGAGTTTGAACCCTGGGAACGCACTCAGGATCTTGGTCCCTTGATCACTCAGACTGGGTGGGAACTTTGCTTGAATAAACTCTGTTTCTCTATCATCACACATATCTGAGTTTGAAGAGCAGGGGTGTGAGTGGAGCAGGGGCAATACGTCCCTGGTGCTTACCTGGCAAGGTGCTGAGACTTGGTTGGGGCACCTACCTGGAGTTGGGAATTGCTACCAAGTCTAGTGGTTTGGACTCAAGGAAAAAGTCAAAGTCCTTTATGTTTGTCTCTCTCTTGTCCACAAGTCCTGTGAACCACTTCTTTAACATTCAGTCCTCCAGAACAGAGCTTTGTGTTGGTCCTCTGCATGGGAGAGTGATTTTTGTTCCTAACGCCTGGCAGTCACAAATATGGACTCTGGCACTATCAAGGAACGTCTGGCAACAATTTACATGAATGCTAAATAAAGCTATTAAAGATGTAATTGGGAATTGATCCAAAAGTCACAGAATGTATAACAGGCAGTTAGATGGCCATTAGCAATTAAAATGCAATTGTCACCTCTACTTGGTTCTAAGGTAAAGAGCCATGTATTTCCATCCTGGCTAAGTCCCTCCATGGCATTGGCATTTGGGAGTCCAAACTGTATTTCTGGGATTCTGAAGATTTGTAATATCTGGAATGGATTCAAAACCTGCCATTATAGCAAAGTGCAAACTTAACCATGTCAGGAAATCTCTAATCATAACACCAACCTTCTATTCTTTACATACCAGAAAGTAACAAGAAGTACAGACATGACCAACAGATAAATGAGGTGTTTCTTAAAAAATTAGGAACTCAACAGCACAAATCTAGAAAATGGAATTCCTTTTTGTCTTTTTTTAATACACCTCTTATGATTACTATGCAATTGCAGTTGGTGCATTTGGCTACCCCAACATTACTTTTCACATTGCCCATCACCAGAGTATTTAAGAGCCAGTTATCTGCTAGCTTCCTTCTATATCTGCTAAGGTTCTTTCTACACAGCCATAGGAATGCAGGTCCTATGTACGCAGTTCCATAGTATGCAGCCATAGGAATAATTTCTGAGTTTGGCCAGTTGTCGTACCTCATTTTTTTCTTTCAGCTTTGTGATCATAACAATGACAGGGCTGTCTTCTTGCCAAACCATCTGCCAGAAATCATTCACGGTATTAATCATGGGTCCCTGAGTTGCAATGAAAGCCTTCTCTTTACCTCCATATCCCTGGTTTAGAGACAGACACAAAAACATTTATTTTAAATTCATGTGGTTGACCAAAATTGCAGGTGAATGTTCTAAAAGAGCAGAAAAATGAATCTGGAATAAAGAAAAAAAGAAAGAGTTATTTGAACTGAAAGCATTTATGACTGACAGTAGAGCAGATCAGAAATTTTTCAGTAGAACAGTTTTTCCTCTGGAAACTACTGATTCGATGGACTGAAATGGTCCTGAGAATACATTAATCCCTCTCAAATTTCCCTGCTTACTTGGTTCTTCTAGCTTACTCTGTTCTCCAAGTTGCTGGGGCTTTCCATCATCCAGCGGTACTTTAATCCATGATTTATATTGCTGCAGTGTTTACAAGATAGTTTACAGTCAACAACCCAGAGAAAAAAAAAAAAAGAGAACTAAAAAACCGGTTTCTACAAAGATTCATGACAGGAAAAAAGATTTAAAATACATGAAGGCTTGTGGAGTCAAAGACTCTACTATGCATCTTTGGTAAGGGAGAAGAGATTTTATGAGACCTTATAGGAAGGGCAGCATATCAGTACAGGGAGTCCTGAGACACACAAGTGTATAGGAGGTCAAAAAAAGGTCAGGCAAACAGTGGGGAAGCAGAGGAAAGAGAAAAGCAAGAAGAAATGGTCAAAATGAGATTGCCTTCTTATTTTCTTGGGGAGAAGGAGAACTTGTGAGTTTGTGCAGTGAGAGGGTGCCCAACACTAATGCAGATCAGGAGATCCTGGCAATGGCTGAAGGGGATGAGTGAATGGAGAACAGCTGGAGGTGGTGCGGGAACCTCTAGCCATGCATCTTCCTTTTGGGTGCCTTTCTCCCTGACAGCTGTTACTCATTGCATGAACCAATGAGACAGATCCTCAGCTGGTATAAACAGTCCTCCTACTCACCAATCTGCCTGAACATACTTTGTCTAGGACAGCTTGTTGGGATCCCAGCAAGCCTAATCATACTGCATATGTGGATGTGAAATTTCATTTCATTGTTGGGTTCTATTTTTTCTGCAGTTGCTGACAGTTCAATCGGTGTTAGCAGCAGGAGAAATCACCATATGTTGGCCTGAAGGGTGGTGGCAGGGGGAAAAGGGAGATCTCAGAGGACTCCAAACATGACCTGGCTGATGGAAGAGTTGTTCGCCAAAGAGAAATGCTTTGCATAGTTACATGATGATGTCTTTCTTACAAAACACTGAAAGTACAGGATGTAAAATGAGGCAGGGTATGGGGGATGTGTATGTGTATATTAATGTACTGTTATTTAAATAAGCAACATCATTGTAGAGCTCTGGAGCCAAATTTCAGTTGTACTATTACATTTATTCCAGCTGAGGATCTGATACATAACTCTAATCAAAACATTTTGTTTTGCAGGTAGAGCACTACACTCCTAAAACATGACTGAAGTAGTGTCTTAGTAGTCTAGTCAGCGTACACTGTGCCACGAGTTCAAGACGGCTCTGTGTGTGTGTGTCATTGAGGATTATAACATAGCTGACTCTGAGAAATAATGCTTTCCAACAGGGTTCATGCTGGTAAAGTCTTTGCATCATGTAATCATTCAATATGGGGAATAAAATGTGAACAAGTGTGTGTGTGCTGGTGCACACATATAATTTAACACGTTTATGCTCTTTTTCACAAACTTGTTGCAGTTTTTATTTAATTACTTAACTGATGATTTCAGGACTATCAATTGATATAGTCACGCATGAAAAAAACCCATCACCACTGAACTTGTCTGTAGATAACAACTGCATGAACAACCGTACAGCTTATATTGCTGTTAACTCTGATCTCTTTACCAAAGTACTGGTATCTCTATCACTGTTAAAATGTAACCTTCTTTTCCTTACTATAAGGCAGTAGGACAATATTAAATGGTAAATACTGAAGTAAACAAACAGTAATGCATGTTTCTTACTGTTTTTTATAAATTATTTGATAAATTGGTTTTTTACTGCAACCATTTTAGTACATTCATGGCTATGTGGTCTTTGTTACAAACTGCTCATGAAACTTTCTATCACATCAATGTAGACAAAAAGATTAGGAATTATCAATGAAGACAGGTAGGAATAAAATGAGTGGCACCTTGGCAAAATCAGCTATTCATGTGGAAAATCAAATATTGTCTCAAAAGCACATGAAGATTGTACATTTACTTACCCTAATGTAGTTAGCATTTATGTAGGTACTCAAGGAGTCAGATGGATTTTTTGGTTTCAAATACACTCTGCTTAGAGGATCTAAGAGCACAAGGAAGATGGAAATTGAAAAGAAAACCCATAATTAGAAGATTTCTATGGAGAATTAAAGACTAGTTGAAGAAAATAATCTACTGTTATTCGGGGTTGTCAAGCACTACAGCATTATGCATCAAATTCTCCCCTCTACAAAGGATCATCACGTGTAACTGAGGTTACACCTGTACACCTATACTGCACAATGCTGGGGTGTGTGGAGGTATCTCAGCAAGCTGTGGGCATTGAAGCAACGCTATCGGGTCCAGGCAATGTTCAGCAAGGTCTAGTCTGCCTGTGTTAAGTATCAAGCTGACCTGCCTCCACTGTCTCTGAAACCTGTGTCATATCATTGTACGATGCTAGATAATCACACCAAGTCCTTTGGATTCAGCTTTGATATCTTTGCCTGAAGTTGTTCTGTTCCAATGATTTAAGTTGGATTTAAATTAAGAAAAGCTCCCTCTGCCTGGGATGAAATCAGTCATGTGTTTTTATACCAATTTAAGTTCACTGTAAGAGGCTGGACTAGGTAATCCATATCCTTCCCTTCAGTCCTGTGTTCTCATCTGATCCAATTTGTGACCATTCGCGTGTACTAGACTAGAGACACAATGCCAAAATACAGGAATATTTTCCTTCACGCTCTTCTTTCCTTCACTGTCTTGGATGATCTAGAACAGAGTGGGGGCCAGTTCTGTTGAGTACAGAGCTGGGGTACTAAGTTTTTGCTTGCTCATTTGTGATGATGTGATACCCCATGTATTACCCTTACGGAATTAAAGCCAGTAAATTCTCAACTACACAGCATAACAGACAGGGATAAGGAGAAGGGGAGTGAGGTGCCTATGTTGTGGCTCTCTAGGGGCACACTCTGACTTTCTTCACACCTTTTCCGAAAAAATATTCTACTTTTAACAAAATGATATGGAAATATTTCTATACTGATAAAAGTAATATTTTCTCCTGGGAATTTGCTTAAATTAATTAGAATCAGTGGCTTTTTGACAGTATACAGACACCTATTGGTTTTGAAATAGTCTCTGCTTTGCTGAGTGCAATCTAGGCAATGTGTTCAAAGCTAAATACGTACATGCTGCACTAGAGAACAGTAAAAAAAATGCTGTTTATTATGTGGCCCTGCTGTTTACAAAAGAAATATATCATTGATATACTTCTGCCATAGCAAAAATTGGTATTTTCAGAGTCGCTTTTGGATTTCTTTTGTGACTTTTCATCCTGTTCCTAAGAACAAGATAAAACCTTTGCAAATCAAAGGAAGAGGAGGGATGACCCCAAACATACTTTATGTCCTTTTCCCACTGGAGGTCACAGAAGCCTCTTGGACAGGAGTGGAGTCTTTGCAGGACCCAGGCTGGTGTTTTGAAAACTATGTTTCTTAAAATGTGCAAATGAATGCCTGACTTCCAGTTAAAAGTCTGTGCATGGAAGTCTTATCCCCTGCATTAATAGCACAACATGAACTCTAGTTAGTTTGTGTTAAAATCTCTTTGTACCAGCTTTCCCAACTTTTTCACTTAGAGCTTTTTTTTTCCCTTAACAATATGAGGACAGGAAACCTCTCATTCCTTTTCAGCACAGAGTGATTATTAGCCATTTCCACAAATGCCTCAGGCTACATGGCCTTGAAAAAACACCCGCTTCCTCTAGCTCACACAATGCCTCTGATTCTGGTGTAGCTTGACCCCTACCTTAAAAAACCTCTTCCAAGCAGACTCAACATCCAGTTTAATTACCATGTCTTGAGATAAATCCCTCTGTTACTAAGGAGCAGCTAAATCAGTTTTACAGTTTCTGAGACCTCCTTCCAACTCCAATCAACGAAACAAATACTGCTTCCAAATGGGAACCTTTTATAAATTAACAGTCCTGATCAGTTATGAAATAGGTAAGTGCTGTAAACTCAGCTCTGAAAGGTGGAAAACCCGAGTGCCGCTAAAGATTCAGAGCCACTAAGCAATCATCACACACAAATGGAAGTAATTAACTTCCTCCTGAATGACAAATACCTTGGAAGTAATAATCTTTTCCTCCAGGATGGTAAAGTCTGAGAGTTTGAAGCTGCAGCAGAAAGACACAGATGGTGGCTGCGAGGCTGAATTTATCAATGTTTGTAAAGCATCTTGAAATGCAGCAGAGCTGTTAAGCACCTATAATTACTAATAAAAAATGTCTCCTACAATTTAGACTGAGGGAAAATTACTGCTGTTTTCTTCCATGTATCTAGGAAGTCTGGCATAGCTCTCCCGTTAGAGCAGAAAAACGTTCTTCTAACTCCATCTTTAATGACTTAATATTAGCCTGAATTTCCTGGGCTGGAGGAATAGGAGGGTGTTAAAGGGGCTGTAGTTTGCCCCCATGAGACTGCCCAGTGCAGGGAAGAAGGTGGGCTATATGGTTGCACTGCTGGACAGCCTTCCCCGCTGCCATTGATACCGGAGGTTCATCCACTCCATGAACACCACTTTGTCACGAAGACCCAGGGTTTTGTCCCATTGCAAAGGCTGCATTCGTTGTACAGTGGGTATGATGGGCTGTGGTCATTGTTTATTCTTCTATTTTGATTGCTATTATGTTCTGAATTCTTTAGGGCATAAGTATGTTTGCATTTGTAGCATTTCCACAATAAGTTATTTATTACTCCTAGTCCAGTCCTAGTTCCCCTACCAACAGTAGAACTGAAATACTGTGAGAAGGGCTGTCCTTAACGTATTTCTGTTTTGCAAGCAGGAAAAGAAGACGAAAATTTTGTGAGGCGGACTGCTGTCACATTTGCAGCCCAAAAGATCATAAATCTTTCAGATATTAAAACATTTTGAAATTCATCCACCTCTATTTTGCCTGTTTTGCTTGCAGTCTATAAATGAATTACGGATGCTGGTGTTATTTGGTAAACATTGTAACACAGAATGTAGAAGAATCATACCAGACTCCATTCCCAATCTCTGCCAGGTGGGGAGTAGGCTATTAGACTTGCAAATAACACAACTGCCTCAAAACACCTCATGTATAAAACACCTGTAAACTATGCATCATATTTTAATCTCATCTGAATCATTCCTGGCACTTCCAATGTAATTCAGGATTTCTCAATGGAAAACTTAACAGATTTATCATGGCGAGTGCTTCTGCATTTCAAAACATGCTTCAGCATTACAAAATAAAGTTTCATTCATGCAGAGGGAATCTTTCTTATCTACTAATAACAAGGTCTGCTGAATATCCATTTACATTTTTAACTATGCAGTCTAACATAGATCAATTATCATAATACTGGCTTTTTACAGATATTATAGTTGTTATTACACTGGTGACCACAACTAGGACACATTTTGTTGACTCACACGGATATACAAAAATGCTTTGATGAACCCATGTTGAATTCCACTAAGCTAATCGGTTTTTCTCCTTCTGCTTTGTAAATATGATTTTTCCCTTTCGTCTTTGAAAGACTGCTGGTGATCCTAATGCCTTCATTAGGGAGCAGGACTGAAGCAAACATGACTGTTCGTACTCAGGACTGTAGCGCAAGGGAGCTTGAAAATTCTTAACATCAAGAGAAGTTTTCCAGCATCTGCCTATAAGCTTGCATAATAAAGTGCTTTGTTCATATGATTTAGATTTAACTTTCCCCTTGTGTTTAGCTGCAGTGCCACAGCCAGTTTTAGCACAAGCTTGGGGATTTGTGGGTCGGACCCGCCAAGTGCTTTCTACCTTCATGTTACTGTGAATCTGCTATTCTGCCGCGAGTGTTTTCATGTAGGCTTTTGCTCTGAGGGTACTCTTCAGAAAGGGGTAAGGAATGACATGCAGGTACTTTGGATGCGTGGCACACACCAAGATACGCACAGAATAGTGTTAAGCCACTTGCTCCTTTGTAAGCAAGAGCCCACACATGCTCTGAAGCACCACGGGAATTCTGCTTCTGGTTTGAGGTGGAAAAATGAGCTAGGAAGGGGAAAAGATATAGGGCTTTGAAGCTGAGGTCCTGCTGCAGGGACAGGTAGCTGGCAGGCTGCAGGAGACAAGCAGGCAAAGGTGAAGATGTGGAGTAAGCAGATGAGGAGGGAGCAGCAGGGCTGGTGTTCTGTTGCAAGGACGTGACCGTGGTGATCTGTATGCAGGATTGGGAACCTGCTCAGAGGGAGCAAGAAATGCTGTAGGAGGATGGCAGAGGGAACGCAGCTGAAGATACGCAGCAGGGTTCAACAGGACCAGTGGGTGGGGTTGCGGTCAGGAGGAGGGATGGAGAAACAGTGATTTTAAGGAAGTGCTTAACCACTTGTCTCTGATCCCACACTGTCCCCCCGTTAGTTGTATTAGCATATTATTATAAAGCAAATAACACTTGGAAAACTTTAAGAGGCATCCTAGTGTTTGCATAAGAGCATTGGCTATGTTATACTGCAACTAAAACATCTTTCAGAGAAATGTAACATTTTCCTGCACTTTATAGTTTTCCATATAGAAAAATTTTCATTAGGCTTTCATTTTATTTCACATGAGTGTGTCTGGCTGGGTAGTATCTCTTAACATGAACCTGCCCTCATGCACCCTGTCACAGAGTTATCTCTTAGAAAACGAGAACATCCTCCACAGTGTGGAGGGTGGAGCTGGCAGGACTGGGCATTTTCAGGAGATAATCCATCAGCTCAAACGTCACTTGTCACCACAGGTGCCCCGATTCAGGAGACGCACCCAGCACTGGGAATGGAAAAGCTGATGCGGGTGTATGAAGCAGTGGGTTGATATCATCTGAGCAGGAAACCAGGAAGGCTGTTCTATTTAATCACTCAAATCGTTTCCAAACCCTCTCGGACTGGGTGTGGGGTGTGCGAGTATTTATTATGACCATGTGCCTCAATCCTCAAAATATCTTCTTTGAAACAGCCTGGTGCTAACACACAACAGGCCTTTTGATTTCTGTCAAAGATGGTTACAAAGTGCCTGTCAGTGAGTAGCTGTGGTGCACACCGGCAGCGTGCCTGGACTGAAAATGTGCCTCGAAGTTAGAGGCATGTCCCAGCTAACTGGAGGTGAAAACACAAAGGCATGCTGGTTCTCAAAGCTCATCAGCATCAACCACAGCCCAGCTGTCGTGTCCCGATTCAAAACACATGCTGCAGTAAAATAGGACTCATCTTGTTTGCAAGGCATTGCTGAAGGCGAACCTGATGGTGGCTGGGGCAGCGCGTATGCGAGATGCTATGGGAAGGGAGAGCTCCTTCCAAAAATCCGCCTGTCAGGCAGAGGGAGGCTTGGCGATATCCTGGCTCCACTGCAGCTGATGGCAAAAGTCCTGCTGTCGTCAAAGGGGTCAGGATTTCACCCTCCATGTACATCCTGTTGACACTGGGCCAGACTCGAAGGGACGCTGAATTTTCTGATTACTTGGTATATAACTTGCATGCAGTTATTTACTTTCTTTATTTGCCTTCAACATTCCTCCACTGCACCCAGCTGCACATGGCTATTGGTTGCAATAGATGAACTAATCTTGAACTCAATGGGAATTTTACTGGGGGCCGAAGGGGAGCGAGGACTCCAGGCAAGTTTCTTGCCCAGCTATGTATCACATTTCCGAGACTTACTTAGTGTCTGAAGGCCATCAATTTTCATTAATTTGGCTGCAAGCCCTTTGTATGATGTAAACAAATTACAATGCGTTCAGGCTCGCTGAGAGAAATCTTGTTATTTAAAGTGTGTGAATTTGCATGACTAACATATAACATAGGCCTACAAGGATGTTATACAGATGATTAGAGAACAAATTTCTAGTTGATAGGATATGCTGTCATTTTAAAAGTATTCTTCATTCAGAACCTAAGCAACGGGATGTGTTTACATTTTTCTGTGGGAGTGTTCTCCAACATTCTGAATCACTGAACTTGTTCACTTTGGTGATGTCAAAATTTATAAAAACTCGACTATTCATGTCTATATTTAGTACAATATTAAAACTTCTGCAACCTTTTTTGAAACTGAATACAAAATAAAATGATTAATAAAAGAGAAATGGAATACCGTATTATCCCTGAACAAATGTTATGAAAACAGTTGCATTTCAGATAAATGTGTATTTTGAAGGAAAACTATTCCACTGAAAAGTTTTCAATCACCTCTAATTACAACAAAGCAATTGTCACTTGGTTAGAAATAAAGAACTTGGGCCATCGAAAACACAGAAGCAGTATAGCAAAGCAGTAGTAAATTTACAGCAATGATGAGGCAGCACTGTGTAAAAGTGGGTTTCTTATTAATGTAAACATATTTCTTCAAAGCCAATTGGTGCATGGAGAGGAAAAAAACCCAAACCCTTCAGAGGACTTATAAGGATGGAAGTCGACTTCAAGAAAGGGTAGGATGCACTTGCTTTCTTTAGTCTGGCCAACTAATGTTGGACAGGGTCCGAAGTAGCTTGGCCCAACCAGAGGGAATTCAGCGACTGCAAGACGTTGTGGGCTGTGATGGAAGCAACAGCCTTGGTCCTCTCGCCCTCCAGATTGGAGGAGCTACTGCGAGATACCCATCTGCCTCAGCTGTCCTCCAGAGAAAACCAGCATGCACCCAGGTTGCATTTCAGTATGTGGTTGGGATGCTGCCAAAGTGCGTAGCTACTAAGGCATCCAGTGAGAGTTCTGCATTTGCTAGTCCTACAGCACTGGGCTTTTGTTGTCTTTCTACATGGCCTATAAATACACTTACGAATAGGTACACAACAATCAAAGATAAAAACAGCTGGATTTTTACAGCAATACGTTCTCAAAGCAGGACTAAATGTCATAGTAGGAAACCATGGGCTAACTCACTTACTTGGCAAAATTGTTTTATAGCGGTTTTTAGTTCCATGACTCGGGATGTCAATTTCTTTGGGATCCACAAAATTCATTGGTATTTCCTATAAAAAATAAATTAAATCAGATTGGTGTTTCCAAAGGAGCCATGCAGGAAATTATCACCAGAAGGCCATCTGCTGTTACACAACTGTCTTTTGACATCAAAGTTATTAAGAAAAAAAGTGGTTCCCACCTCAAGCCTGTCAACACCCTTCCTTTAATAAACACAGGGAGTTGCATATTGAAGGGGTGACTTCCAAGGAACACTTCTGATGAATTATTAAAAGCAAAGTTTTTACAGGATTAGGAGAGAGGTTAAAATGCACAATAGTTCTAGAAAAGTGGAGTTGAAAAGTGCAGCACTGTAGCAGAAAAGCGCAATATTTTACATAATTGGTGGAGGAACTAAAAATAATTAAAATAATTAAAAATCAATATATAGTAAACATTTTTTTTTATGTTGTGCAAAGCCCTTAACAATGTCAAAGACCTCACTTGCTTTTTATAGAAACTACTAGAATTAAGAGCCTTAGTCTTTTGCATTCAGTAATCATAATAAAAATCTGAAGCAATATTTCTCTTGATTCTCATTTTGATCTTTTAGTGACTGATACGCTCTGTCTTCTTTAAATATGCAGATGTGCAAGTAACTAATGTGACAATTTGCTTGAAGTTCCAAAAATATACAAATTATAAACTCCTGATCAACTTAAAATTACTGTTTTTCAAATGGTTTGTCAGCATGAAAAAAATCCTCCAGTTTTTCATTGAACAAAATGTTTCAATTGGTCTAAGGGGGGAGAATAATTTTGATTTGGAGGTCTTGAAACATTGTCAGGGTTCTTACAGTTGAATAAAAACAACCCTTTGAAAATGGCAAGATGAAACAAATAGTTGGTTTGGGTTTTTTTGTCCTGGTTGTGGGAGATGTTTTACCAATCAAAACAATCTGGCAAAATCACATTAAAAATGCTTCAGTTGACTCAAATCTTCATTTTTTACTGAATTATTTTGGCCACAATTATTTAAATTATCTTAGGGTAAGCTGGAATTTGATCTGTAGTAAATTAATACTTCTACTTAAAAGCACAGTCATTACTAGAGACTTGAAAACTTCACTGCTAGCCTAGGACATTTACCCAAAGAGACAGTGGCATATTAAATAATTGACCTATACAGACAAATAGGAATATGAGGACACATAAAAAGTATGTTCCTACTCTATTCAGTGCAAACCTCCTTTGACTTGCACCACTGAAAAATTTACTTAAGGATTTTCCTCCAAAATCAGCTGGTTTCTAACTCTGCAGACCTGCCCAGGTCTTTGGCACAGATGAGAAGCATGGCCATGTCCTTCAGACCCAAGCTCTGGTCCTGCCCAGCGTGACTGGCTGCTGCGGGGTTTTTTTTAGAGGAACAGGGATGAGGCTCCTAACAGCTTGCCAAAGATGCACCCAACAGCAGATATTCACATGCGTTCACCAAGCAGGGAAGCTACCTCTTACTTTTCTGGTTGAAGAGAAGGCAAAGTTAGTAAAATTTAGATAGGTCATAATTAATTTCTTTGATTCTTTTCTGTTTCCCAACTTGGCTTCTGAACATCTTACTACATGAGGCTGCGACTCTCGTGTTAGTTTTTTACTTTTCTATCTTCTCTGGCTTATGCCCGTGTGTTTAGTGGACCTTCTTTATTCTTCCTCTCTACCTTACTCAGTTTCTTCCTTGATCTCTTCCTTGCTCTTCAGCTGACTCCTTGAAAGAGTGACTTGCTGCCTCTCATTTCAGGCCTGTCAAAGTATAGCTGCTAAGATACACCTTCTTTGCAGGTACTTCACCCAACCCTTTTTCAGCTCCCTGTAGTGACATCCATATGATGCCTGTGCTAAATGCAGCATCTTCTCACTTGTAAGACTCCATTCCTGCATAAACCTCATCACCATTCCTTCAGGCCAAACCATCTCACCTCTGTCCTGCTTCTGATGCCCCTTCCGCCTCCGTGGAACTACAAAATGTGCTCACACACTCCCCTTCATACCCATCTCCGACTTTCACCCCTTCCCAGCGGTGACTTCTGTGAAACTCTTCCCCTTGCACTTGGGCTCTGAATTGTCCTAACTGGCTCTGGTACGGGCTACTAGGTGACTTAGAGCTTCCCTGGTTCAGTTCTGGCTTAGTATAAACGCCACCAGTGCATGGCTTCTGAAAGGTTTCCCTGCTGAACTATACACCAACTGAGAGAGAGCAGTATGTTAAGCCTGTGTTTAATGCAATCAATGTCTGTCATCTACAGATGTGTGAGGAAGAGTCCTCTGCCTGCCCAACAAGAGACAGCGGTCAGTGGGGCTCTTCCAGCCACCTGGCTGTCTCCCTCTTGATGCCTGCTGAAATTTTAAAATAGTTCATCGTTTGGAGAGTTACTGACAGATGCAGAAATGCCACTGAGTTGAAAACAGAAATGCATTTCTCTGGGCCAACAAGGTCAATTAATAATATTAATGACTTACATCCTGTAAACACTTTCTAGTCAGTGGGCTCCTCCCAGTAGTATACTTGTGGGGCCAAGGGCATGGACAGAAATCTGACAATACACCATGGATCACAGCCACAGACAAGTCACTTATTCTGAAACTGGCTGTGAAAAGCAAGAGATTATTCCGGAAAAAGAATCAGGAAATTATGGGCATAATGTTCCTGCTAATGTGGGGAAAACAAGCCCAGAAGATTGTAAATAGCATGAACACGTGCAAATTAGCAAAGTCTGTAGCTATATAGGCAATATATAGATTTGTTTTATTAAACATATATACATATTATATATAATTAAATAATTACAAATAATGTATAAGTTGCACACATTCATGTGCTCAGTTGCATGCATGCAATTATAGATGTGTATCAATATACGTTTTTGTTCGTGTACTACTGCACCTCTCTGGGTGATACTCTTCTAATAATCATAGAATCATAGAATGGTTTGGCTTGGACAGGACCTTTAAAGGTCATCTGGTCCAACCCCTCTGCAAAGAGCAGGGACATCTTCAACTAGGTCAGGTTGCTCAGAGCTCCATCCAATCTGACCTTGAATGTCTCCAGAGATGGGGCATCTACCACCTCTCCGAGCAACCTGTTCCAGTGTTTCACCACCCTCATAGTAAAAATTTTCTTCCTTGTATCTAGTCTAAATCTACCCTCTTTTAGTTTAAAGCCATCACCCCTTGTCCTATCACAACAGGCCCTGCTAAAAAGTTTGTCCCCATCTTTAAGTACTGAAAGGCCACAATAAGGTCTCCCTGTAGCCTTCTCTTCTCCAGGCTGAACAACCCCAACTCTCTCAGTGTGTCCTCATAGCAGAAGTGCTCCAGTCCTCTGATCATTTTTGTGGCCTTCCTTTGGACCTGCTCCAACAGGGCTGTGTCTCTCCTGTGCTGAGGGCTCCAGAGCTGCACACAGTACTCCAGGTGGTATCTCACCAGAGCAGAGTAGAGGGGGAAAATCACCTCCCTCAACCTGCTTGCCATGCGTCTTTTGATGCAGCCTACAATATGGTTGGCCTTCTGGGATGTGAGTGCCCACTGTCGGCTCATGTTTAGCTTTTCAACCATCACCCCCAAGCCTTTCTTGGTAGGACTGCTCTCGATCCCTTCATCCCCAGCCTGTATTGATACCGGGGGTTGCTGCGACCCATGTGCAGGACCCTGCACTTGGCCTTGTTGAACCTCATGAGGTTCACACGGGCCCACTTCTTGAACTTGTCCAGGCCCATCTGGGTGGCATCCCATCCCTCAGGCATGTCAACTGCACCACACAGCTTGGTGTTGTCTGCAAACTTGCTGAGGGTGCGCTTGATCCCACTGTCTATGTCATTGATGAAGATATTGAACTGTACTGGTCCCAATAGAGACCCCTGAGAGACACCACTTGTCACCAATCTCCATCTGGACACTGAGCCATCGATCACTACCCTCTGGATGCAATCATCCAACCAATTCTTCATCCACCTAACAGTCCACCCATCAAATCCATATCTCTCCAATTTAGAGAAAAGGATGCTGTGGGGGACCATGTCAAAGGCCTTACAGAAGTCCAGATAGTCAACATCTGTAGCTCCTCCCTTGTCCACTGATGTAGTCACTCCATCACAGAAGGCCACTAGGTTGGTCAGGTAGGACCTGCCCTTGGTGAAGCCATGCTGGCTGTCTCGAATCACCTCCCTGTCCTCCATGTGCCTTAGCATAGCTTCTGGGAGGATCTGTTCCATGATCTTCCCAGGCACAGAGGTGAGGCTGACAGGTAAGTAGTTCCCAGGGTCCTCCTTTCTACCCTTTTTAAAAATGGCCACAATGTTTCCCTTTTTCCAGTCACCAGGGATTTCACCTGACTGCCATGACTTTTCAAATATCATGGAGTGCAGCTTGGCAACTACATTAGCGGAGAGAGATTGCCAGTGAAGACTGAGGCAAAAATGCTGAGTACCTCAGCTTTCTCCTCATCCATTGTCATCAGTTTGCCAGTCTTGCTCACTGGCGGTGAGGGGGTGTGCTTTCTTTGACCTTCCTTTTCTGGTTGACATATCTGCAGAAGCTCTTCATATTATTCTTTGCATCCCTTGCCAAATTCAGCTCCAGCTGTGTCTTGGCCGTCCTGACCTCATCCCTCCACAACCAGGCATCATCCCTATACTCTTCTCAGGAAGAGTCCCTGCTTCCACTGCCTGTGCATTTCTTTCTTGCCTTTTAGTTTGATCAGGAGGTCTCGACTCAGCTATGTTGGTCTATTGCCCTTCTTTCCTGATTTCTTACACCTGGGGATTGAGAGCTCTTGCCCTCTACGGAAAGCATCCTTAAAGATTTGTGAGCTCTGTTCTGCTCCCTTGTCCCTGAGGGCAGTTTCCCAGGGGGTCCTATTGACTAACTCCTTGGACAGCTGGAATTTTGCTTTCCTAAAATTCAGGGTCCTGACTTTACTCTTCACCTGACCCATATCCCTCACAACTGCAAACTCCACCAGCGTGTGATCACTGCAGCCCGCGCTGGCTCCAATCTTGACGTCACCAATTAACTCACTAGCGTTGGTGACCACCAGGTCCAGTATCGCATCCCCTCTAGTGGGCCTGTCTATTACCTCGTTTAAGAAGTTATCTTCAATGCACTCCAGGAGTCTCCTGGATTGCCTACAGCTCGCTGTGCTACTTTTCCAGATGTCGGGGGGGTTGAAGTCCCCCCAGCAGGATGAGAGCCTGTGAGCGTGATGCCTCCTGTAGCTGGAGTAAGAAGGCTTCATCAATAGGCTCCCCTTGATCAGGTGGCCTGTAGTATACACTAGCCACAAGGTTCCCTTTGTTGCCTCAGTCTTTAATTCTTACCCATAGGTTTTCAACCTGCTCATGGCTATTCTTCAGAGACAGCTCTTCACTCTCTATCCATTTCTTGATGTTGAGGGCAACGCCGCCGCCACTTCTTCCTCGTCTGTCCCTTCTGAACAGCCTGTAGCCATCGATAGCCGTGCTCCAGCCATCAGAATTGTCCCAACAGTTTTCAGTAATTGCAACTAAGTCCTAGTAACAGCTAATAACAGCTATTCTGGCTCACATTAGCCTTTAAATGTTACAACTGTTCTTATACTGGAAAAGATATGATTTAAGTCTCTGAAAGCATTCAAGAAAAAGTGGCAAAATTTAGGAAAATTCAGGTAGATATTCATTATACCTATCCCTTCATTTTTATGAGAACCAAATTTTATAGATTTAACAATCTGGCACCTTCCCATGCAGGACTGTATTTTCTGACATTCTAGTATTTTGGGAATAATGATTTTTTCTGTTCTGTCACCAACTTCAGACATTCTGTCGTGTGAATATTAGCAGCTCAGGCTACTAAAGAAGTATCTGCTGGGCAATTTATGTTTCTTCCTCCTTGCAAATGAGGTATATTCTCCCAAGTAAAAGTAGCCAACTTTTTTGTCAGCATTAAAAATAGCTCCTTTTTCTTAATAAATATTATGGGAAAATATTTTGATGGTAATTTACCATTTTTTACAACAAAAAAATAAAGTTAATGACCCCCTAATTCTTAATCAAAAAAGTCAATGTTAAATAAAGAACTAAAAGTAACCCAAAACTGCTCACGATTCAGTTGTCCATTGAAGACTGAACATTTCTCCACTTTTTGCACACTTGGAAGGTTTTCATGGGAACTAATAATTTTAGTCTCAAGAAGACTGTCTTATTTTATTTCTTTAGCTAGTTAAAACAAGCTGAGTGAGCAGAACGAGTGAGGGTTATATATTGCGTTCTTTGCATGCCTCGAGTTCCTACTAAAGCTATTATGTGTAGCAAGGAAGATATTAAACAGATACTGTTCAACAGCTTCATCTTAAAACACATTTTAAAAAATGGTTTAAATATGGAATAGACAAGTCATGATCTTTTCAATAAAATTCTGTGAAAACACCAAATGGCCAAAGTCATGTTGTGCCCCCCTGAGGGACAAATAAAATATGAGTCTCTATTGCTCCAAAACCATGCAAGGATGCTCTGAAAGAGGATTTGGGTAAATAGGATTCTACAGAGGTGTCAAGTTGTCTGTATAAACTGTCTCCTACCATGGGGGGTTTAAGCCCGATAAAGTTATTTCTTCTAGCTTTCCTGCCTAAGCAGCAGAATGGCAGAGAACTGATGACATAAGTGGTACCCTCTGAGAGCAGTGGGTAGCAACACATCGGAGGGAACTAGAACGGGACAAGCTTTTCTTTGTATTGCACTGGTCACCCGATGCTGTTCTTTCAGCATGAAAAACCATATTCACCTTCTCCTTGCTATCATGATTTTATAGGCTGCTGTTAGAGCCTCGCACAGTCTCTTTTCTAGGCAGAAGAGTCCTTGTCTAGTCTACTTAGTACCTCCTGGTACAGAAACTGGTCTAGTCTGTGATTGTGTTCGCCACAATTCTGTATGGGGTTCAAGATGGAGAGATCAGAACAGCATACAGTTGTGAATGTAATATAGATTTTTCTAATGTCAGAAAGATGTTTTCTATATTGTTCTCTAGTTCTTTTCCCAAGATTCTTAGCTTTTTATTACAGAACCCACCAAAGTATACAAAACTACTTTCTCCCAAATGCATAACATTTTATTTATCAACCTTGGATTTCCTCTGCCTCATCACCATCATAAAATCCCTCTATTGTTTCTTTGGAGTCTACTGTTGGTATTGTTAATTTTACTGCCCTCGGTAATTCAGTGTCATCACCAAACTTCGGCACCTTACTATTTATTCCCATTTCCAGATGACTTAAGAGCGTCTTGGTCAGTGTCAGCTCCAGGACTGAAGCCTCTGGGACTCCTGTGGTGACTACCTTTCACTCTGAGAAGCAACCAACCTTTACTGTGTTGATTATTCCGCACTGTATTGCATTTGTTCATACATTTATTGGCTTCTTTCTTTATTATGATTCCTTCCAATTTCTCTGATTTACACATCAGATTTCTGGGCTTGCAGTTCTCTGGATCTCTCCTGGAGCCCTTCTGAAGAGCTCCTGTTACCTCCCTCTAATTCCTCAGCTACTGGGGCCCAAGTGCTAGGTTACACCTGCCCAGTTAATACATCAGTAATTGCATATATGAACTCCTTTAGGATTCCTGGGTGAATACTAGCTTATGCCAGTGAGTAACTTTTATTCATTTTATTGATTTGTTCTAGAATCTCTTCCATTAATGCTTCAATATCAGACAGATCCTCCAGTGACCTGTTTGAATCTACTCCTGCCACAGAGGTAGGAAATTCCCTAAGTTCGTCTATGTTCAACACAGATGCAAATAATGCAGTCACTTCTCTCCTAGTGCTACAACTTCTCCAAATCCCTTTTCTACCCTTTTGATCCTTGCACTCTTTGGTAAGCTTTGTGCTTTTGATCTATTTAAAAATGAAGTTACGATTTTATTTTTCTTTAATTCAAACCCTTTTTTGTCCTGCCTTATTCAGCTTTCACATTCAACTGGCTTCAGTTTATGCTCTGTTCCGTTTCCCTTGTAAAGAGTGTCTCCTTATTGCTGATAGCCTCTTTCATCCGGCTGTTTTGCAATACCAGTCTTTTTCAGGTCTTCTTAAAATAATATGTAATAATGTGTTTTCTGTGACTGAGTTTTTCAGCTCTGACTTGTTTCTACCTGGCCACTGTCTTAATTTTAGATTCTTACCCTTTTTAATATCAAATACACTTGTAAGACAGTTCACATTTTTTGGTCTTGAGTATATTAGGCTTGCTGTATGGAGTGCTTGTTAAAGATATTTTGGACTGACTGACAGTGGGTGTCCCTGTCTGCTCCAAAAAGTCGTTTATAGTGACTAATAATTTAATCTTCAAATTGCAACCATACGCAATGTTTACATGGGAACAAACAAAATCTCCAATTATTACTGTCTTTTCTGTCATCATAGCCTTTATGATCTCTTTGAAACTGTCACAGTGCTACAGTCCTGGCTGTCTGTACTGTAGCTCTAATATGACATTTATCCCATCGATGAATGGGACTTCAAACCGAGAAGAATCTGTATTATCCATGGATATAACTGACTGACTTATCTGTCCTTAGTGCATAAACATAAAACACTACCTTGGAACCATCTAATCTGCCCTTTGGAAATGATTTGTACCTTTGACATTAAAGTGTTGTCCAATTATTTTTTCCCCATGGTTTGTGTTGTGCCAATTATGTCAAAAATCCTCATTTAAAGCTTGTTATTAAACTCACCATGAATTCTGTTTGAAGTAAATGAGAACATGCAACTGCATCTCGAAGTTGCTGCCGTGTCAGGACGCGGCCGGCTGACTGTAGGTATTCCATCGCTACTTTTTCTCGTGGGGTTGGCACAGCGACAAAAGGTTCAACACTTCCCAAACTACTCATATCCAAAGTCAGTGAGACATTCGATCCTCGTCTGCATTAGAAAATAATTAGAACAGTTATATCATATCTGTGCTACTGTAAGTCCCATACTCATGCAGCTGATCCTGAGTGCTTTATGCACCCTGACTGTGTATAGTCACTGGGAGATTTGGGTATGCAAAGACTGCAAGACTGGTTTCACTGGAAGCACTGGGTGGCCAGAAACCAAGATTTTACATATCATCCTACCTCTTGAATCCAACAACCAATGCTGCAAGAACAGTGTCCTAGGGAGCAACTATTTGGATTATCCTTAGAACCAGAAACTGCTCCCTATATGCTACTTAATCTTTATGGATGTCAAACGTGAAACCACTATTTTAGTAAGGAAGAAATATTTCACAGAAAAAAATATTTCTAGCTGATACATATAACCCCCTGGAAATGTATTCACAGTTATGTCAGCTATATTTTTAAGAATCTACTCAAATTTAATATACAGAATGGAGGGGAAAAAAGTAGTAAAATCAGCAGAAATAAGGTGAAAGGCAGTGCAAACATCGTGACTACCAAGACAGCGGACAATGTCTCACGTTAGTCAGGAGAGAAAGGAGAGGCAATAAACCAAAATAAATGAGCTCCGGACACGGATTTTGTTAAGATACAACTGTCCCTTTTACAGTAATATGTCATATTGTTATAAACATCATACAGACATCATCAGTATCTGTGAGGCAAGTGCTATTAATATTGGGGGAAAACTTTCCTCCAGTCTGCAGCAAAAGTTGCTTGTATTAATACTTGCTTTTTACTGCCCTTTCATTATTTATCAGTGGCCCATAGGTATTCGTATGAACACATATTTGAGCAAATTACTTGTCTTTCCAGACACTGTGACTCTTTACTGCTGGTTTTGCTGTTCTGTTTTCTGACTTTCTTCTTCCACCAGAATAAGGACTCTTAGGGTCTATTGCTTTCTTCTTTGTTTGTAACCATATGAACATAACACTTCTTTTCTGTTCTGATGCAACTTTGATGCACTTCCCTTCCTCTTATACACGTCAGCAGATCCTTCACTATTTTTATTTTAAACTAAACCATTTCTATCATGTCAGTCTACATGAATAGAAATGACTTCAGTCACTCACCTGTCACTTAGCAAAACACAAAGCAACAATGGCCAAGAGGCGAGACCACCTGGTGGAATTGGTGAATCTCACATTGTGCCATAGTGTCCATAAGCCTATTTCAGCTTAGGTGATGGGTGGGTGATAGCAAGAGCTTTGCTGCCCGGGCCCACAGATGGTAACATGTGAGTCAGCGACAGAAGCGGAGGTGGAAGAGGCAAGATGGAGCTGAGGTGGCCACAGGCAGCTGGCTGTCTCCAGGGGTAGGTGAGGACAATTTCTGTCGGCAGATGGGTATGATTCTGCTAATTTTGCTACAAGGTAGGCAGAAGTGAAGTTGCATCCTGAGCAGAAATGACTAGTAACTGATACATGCATAGGCTGCCAGTAGTGCTCTGTGGCTCGCTACACGCCCTGCATCATACCAAAGCCCCAGTCAGTGGTACCAGTGCTCATACCCAAATCCAGAGCTGTGACATCCTGGGAGATGGGCACACCATGAGCTGGCTGTGGTGGCCGCTCTCTGCCGGATCCTGCGGGAGGGTCCTGGCTCAGGAACCCATCCCAGCTCCCTGGGGACTGCCCCCGTCTGCAAGGGAAGCCAGTCCCACAGCTCCACGCTGCTTCTCAACAAAAACATCCTGTTAGACTGCTTTCTCACAGAAGTCCTCCTGCAAAAGCACCTCTTCTGACCATGACTAGCAATTTATTCCATGGAAAACGGCAGTCCCTCAAACAGGTGGCTCTGAGGGTGTGTATCGCAAACCCAATCTTCTGAAAGCAATCCAGAAATCCACAGAAGAGGTGTGCAATGAACCTCTCCAAAACTGTTTAGGCTACCTTTGGTTGAGAAATGGGTAGCAATTTAGACCCAGACATGCTTCTGGGAGAGCCTACTGAGATTTCCTAATATAGAGGAAAGGTATTTGCATTGTTCAGTAACAAAGTACAGTGAAAATGTTAATATTTTCTTTGGCTTTTACATTGTTATAACTGACAGTCTTGGCAAAAAGGTTACTTCCTTTTTAAGAACTACAAAAAATATACCTGATCTAATTATAACTTTGAGCTTACAGCTTTTACCATTTATGGGGATTATTGATGCATACCGATGTTAAGAATCAAATAACTTACTCCGGAAAGAAGAAAGAGTTTTTAGCTGCATATTTAACACATTAAAAGCTACACATTGAATAAAACCTGAATACAGGGCTGAAAATAATCACCTAAAGGATAGTAGTCTTTTTAGAAAGTCTGTAAGATGATATACAATAGATAATAGTTCTAAAGGTAATTCTTCCATAAGAACAGGAAAATTTAGAACCCTTTTGAAGAAGTATTTTTCAGTTAATAAAAAGATTTTAATGTTTACATTAGCAATACTAACTATTGCCAATATTAACATTAATCATGCAGACTTCTTTATCGCATTCAAGACCATGCTAAGGAATAGGGTTGAAAATGGAACATATTGCCTTGTCTTGAAAGATGAAGGAGGACCTGAACTTTTCATGTGCTTGTATATCCTAATAGAAGATGCTTATAGTTTCACATCCTGCTCTGGACTCCTTGGATTCTCTATGTTTCTCCAACTGTTAAATTCATCACTTTCTGTAGAAAAGAGTAGAAAACAAGAATTCACTTTCCTTTTACTACCTGGGTGGAAAGAGGACTTATTGGAGGGACTGCACAAGGCTGGCCACAAAGCAACGAGGAGGTACCACCTAAAACAAAGCTCTTTTTTACTAACGATTCATTGTTTCCAGTAAGTTTTGAATAAAGAAATCACAACCAGACACTTCAAGTCAGACAACTAATTTTTCTTGAAGATATATAGATCTATCTCCTGACTACACACAGGTAGCTTTCCATTTCAAATTAGAGTGATGGAGCCATACACATGGGTTTTCCCTTATTTCCGAATATTTACAACCCTTTATTTGCCTTCTAAATAACTTTATATTCTTTGTATTTCCCATGTTAATAGTCTGGGCCACATTAGAGAACTTCGTTATGATACACCTCCCCCAGCATCCCCTCGAGGTTGCGTCTTGTTGGGGAAAAGCATCATGTGAGGAATCCAAGGAACTGTAAACATGCATGATAACATTATCATAGAATCATTTAATCACAGAATAGTTTGGGTTGGAAGGGACCTTTAAAGGTCATCTAGCCCAAACCCTCTGCAATGAGGAGGGACATCTTCAACTAGATCAGGTTGCTCAGAGACATGTGGGGCATCTACCACCTCTCTGGGCAACCTGTTTACCACCCTCATGGTAAAAAATTTCTTCTTTACATCTAGTCTAAATCTACTCTCCTTTAGTTTAAAGCCATAACCCTTTGTCCTATCGCAACAGGCCTTGCTAAAAAGTTTGTTCCCATCTTTCTTACAAGCCCCCTTTAAGTACTGAAAGGCTGCAATAAGGTCACTCCAGAGTCTGTTCTTCTCTGGGCTGAACCACCCCAACTCCCTCAGCCTTTCTTCATAGTAGAGGTGTTCCATCTCTCTGATCATTTTTGTGGCCCTCCTCTGGACCTGCTCCAAGAGGTCCATGTCTTTCCTGTGCTGAGGGCTCCAGAGCTGGATGCCACACTACATTACATTAAAATCAGCATGAGACTAACTCTTCTGAAGTTTCACCAGCTGGGACAGCCAGCTCATCACTGGGTACATGAATAAGTGCAATCAGGAAACCACTTGTGTCTGTGTATTGTCTAGTATCCCAGAGCGGGGTCTTACTACATACTCACAGCCCTCTTTTCAATTGGGTAATAGGAACAAGTCCACTGATGAGAATCCACTAGAGTATTTTTAATAATACATTTATGGAAGCAGATTTTATTACAGACCATGACAAAAAAAAAAAAAAAAAAAAAAAAGGACTAATGCAATGTTTTGTAATGTTTGTTTGAAAACTCTCAAAAGGAAGCTCCACCTGTCCACCTTGCAGGGCCACCAGGTTACTAAAGCCTATTAATCATTAGCAAGGTCATTTCCAGGTTTTCCCTGACCCTAAAATTAAGCTATAGCTGGTGATTATGAAAATCCAATTACCTGACATGTTTTCCCAGTTGTTTATTTAAGCTGGGTAATTTCTTTAAATACACATTCCCATGTTTATTCAGCACTCCTGAAAAATGCAACGCCCAGATTCCCAGTCCTTGGCTTTTCATTCTGTCTAGTGGTTTTGGAAGTGGTGGTGACGGCTGCTGCCCTCCAAGAGCCATTGCCCTCCGACCCCAGCATTGCAGACGCAGGAGGCGCTTCCTTCTGCGCTCTCAGTCCTCCATCCCTCTGCAGAGCTTCTGCGCAGCCAAGGCAGGAGCTGTGTCAGCCATGCAGGTGGAAGGAAGCCATTAATTAGCGGGAAGAGCAGCGCTGGCTGCGGCTGCTGGGGAGGGAGTTTACTTTGGGTCCTCAGATCCCGCTTGTACCAGAGGACGCTCCGCAGGGCTACTCTTCCTGGGTTTTACTGCAGGGATGACGGGAAAAACACCGCGATTCTCCTGTGCGTTGTATTTCTCTAGTACTCACAGACTCGGTCTAGACATGGGTCTTAATTCTCTTCCCTTGCTGGTCCATTTCATCAGCAAACGCGCTGAATTCCAGTGGGTTTTGCACTGCTGCAGTTGCACTGGGAGAGCACAATTAGGCACGTGGTTTCCACCACTTACCTTCCACCTTACCAGTGCCAGACTTCACCTGCTTATCTAGTTTCATATTTCAGTAGAGTAACTCAAAGGAAAAAAAAATGCAAATTTGAAAAAAAGGACAATGGAAAAGATACAGGTTTCAGCTTTCCTGCTGCTTTTAGCAAATTAGCTAAGAGAAAACATGGTCATGTAGATGAACAAATGCGATACGTCATGCTGTGGTGGGGTGTGAAAAGCACAGCAAATCACAAAAGGACATAATGTTGTC